TCAAGTAAAAAGAAAGCACATGATTAATATATGACATTCTAATCTGACTTCTTGAAGAATTTAATTAATGTTTATCTAATTTTGAAAGGTACATTTAGAAGTCTGAATGAAAATTTCTCCTGCTGATGAAAGTGTGCAGTTTGCYCTCTGCAGTATTGTGATGCTAACCCCAGAGTACTGTGTCCAAAGGGTTAAATACGTTACTTGGATTGAATCTTCAGAGGAGAGAAAAGGGAGTCAAAACAAAGTGACAACTGTTTGGAAGCACAGTAAATGGAGGGAAATGGTCTTTGGTTTAATCCACAGAGCTTAGTTAAATGAGGCTTTCAATTTGTTGTTGCCCATTAGTTTTATTAATACTTGTGTTCTGCCACTGCATTGAAAAGACTCTCAGTTTCTTTTCATTATATTTCTTGAATATTTAAGTTTCAAGCTATGTTAATCAGTCAGGTCAGAAATTTTGTTACAGTCTTGGTAGCAATGGAGTCTGTTTTGCATCAGTTCACTAAAAGCTTTCCTCCTGCTCTCCTAAAGCCTGGATTCCTGTGTGCTYTGGACAGGAAACTACAGCAAGCTGTAAAATGAATTGTCACTACATGGCAAAAACTCTTAGTCAAGAGCTTGTTTCCTCTTGTTAGAATGAGAGTAAGTCTCTGGAAACATTCAAGRCCAKGTTGWATCAGTCTCTGAGCAGCCTGSTCTAGTGGAAGGCATCCCTATCCATGGCAGGGAARTTGGAACAAGATGATCTTTAAGGTCCCTTCCAACCCAAACCATTCTATGAAATCGATGAGCCCCYGTCCCAAATATTAGAAGAGGCTAAATATATTTTTGAGGTTCTTTACTTGAAGTTGACCTGATTTTCATGTTTTCCAAATGCTGAAATTCTGCAAGCACTTGTTCAGGAGYGTATTCATTCTGCACTTGCCTGACTGTGTTTTACTTTAATTACTTTAAACATTCCTCAGGCAAGCTAAGGTTGTGTTGAAAGGCTTATTTTAATAAGAAAATAATTGGATGCTCTTTTCTTCTGGACTCTTTGAGAGGATTCACTGATGCCAATTCTTCAGTACTCCCTTTTGGCCTGAATGCCCTTGAAATAAGCCAAATGCTAGCTTTCTAATTAAAAATCCAATTGTTAAAGACAAAAATTGTCTGATCTCTAGAAACAAGTGGCATTATATTGACAGTCTCTCTGGCAAAGTTGAGAAATTGAATGGCAAGTATAAGTGAACACAGTGAGCATTAAAAACCTTTATCACACTTGAGAGAATTCCAACAGAAAAGAACAATCCTTATTAAACCAGACACTAGTCATGACAGCAAGATCTACAAATTGAGAATATTCTATAAAGCTGTGGCACTCAAAAATGACTGGCCCAAAATATATTCTTGAAGTCTTAAGATGGGTGAAATTATCTGAAACTAATCAAGTTACTTTGATTTTATGTTTTCCAATCAAGTCATGAATAGTGTAACAATTATCCCAGAAAAGGCTATAGAGATTGCTAAGACAAGAAACTTTGGCTGGCTCTTCCACAAGGCATTCTCAGTGAGAGGTACTATCTGCTTTATTTATTTGTTTATTTATYTATTTATCTTTTTCAGAGGAATGTATTTCTAAGTCATTCTAAAAACCTAGGTTATTCCTTCTGTAATACAGGATATGACAGATCTGAGWCAAAACCAGAAAAATAGTTATCAGTGATATGGAAAAAAAAATTCTTTTTTAAAGGGGTTTTTCCTCCTGCCTTTCAGTGCTGTCGGGACTTTGTGATTACAAGTTCTCTAGTTCTTGAAGATTTCATATATAGTCAGTAGAAAACCATCAGCTTGTTTTCAATTCAGTAACATGAGTTTATTTGAACATTCATTTATAAAATGTACAATTCAAAGCCCAAGCTTTTTCTGAGYTGTTTTTAATTCAGTTTCCCCTGCGTATACTTCCAGAAAAGCTAGATCTTAGTTTGCACTAGCATTGCCTTGCACTGTTTCAACAACAGGGATCAGGTGTTTCGGAGCACTTGGCTGTATTTTGGAGCACTCCTACACGAGCTAATGACTACATCAGTAACTGGAACCACACCACTTGTTCTCATTGCTCCTTCATACCAGTAAGAGACGTTRTACTGGAAGGAATAATGCATAGCTGAAGAACTCGGATGCTTTGTTGCCTTACTTTACACTGGAGATTTTCCTGGCCCATTCCAAAATTGAGAAAATGCAAAAGTATCTGTTTAAGTGCATTTCAGCTGCACCAAGACACCCATTGCCAGCTGAGACTGTTTTTCAGTACACACTGTGTGACCCCCAACTCCTCTGGCTCAGTGATTACCAAGATGTTCCCCTAAAATTCAGCCATTTTTAGCAGCTCAGCTGTGTAAGGTTGCTTGGAAACCAACCTTCTTATCCCCCACRTTCTCATGACAGATTTCCTATGCAATAACATCACTGCATGACACATTTGTATCCAGATACGCATTCTTTTTCCACTTGAGATTCTCTGAGTAAAGGTTGTTGATGCTTCACRCAATTCGTAAACAGCATGTGGTAAATCACTGGAGTATTAAATCACTGCCACAGTCAAAATGAGCTCAAGTTTTAAATGTGAGCAGTTCCTCACTCCTGAATTCAGTTATTGATCCTTCCTTCCTGAGAGTAATTTCTAATTTGTTTTTTTAGACTGGACAGCTGGTGGTATTAGGAGTTTACGGTAATCTCCACTCCCTTTTTTGCTTCTGTATATAATACTCACTTTCATAATTTCAGTTTGGTTGTGGTTGCTTTCTCTTTTGTATTTTCTTTATATTTGTACAAGGCATGTCATATAATCTGGGTATAAAAATATTGGTAACATAAATATTTATATTTTTTAAATGTTGCAAAAAAGCAACAAGATACCAACTYGCAGTTGAAGTGAGTCATTGTCAGCCACTTCATGTTTATGTAGCTGTCCTTGAGTGACGGGATTTTAGCRCTGTTTTAGCTTCATTTCTCCTTTGTTTGACAACAGTATTGCACTCTTGCCAGAACAGCCACRTATTAGTTTAGCAAAATAATGAGAAAAGCTAAGTGCCACATCTGGCAGAAGGAATATTTGCCATTGGCAAAGACAATATGGTCCCATCATAATCTTCTTGTTTAATCTCGTGTGAGAACCAYATGCATTCAGAAGTGCAGTCAGTGCTTATATGGACTGTGTAATGTATCATCAGTGAACTATATAGTTTGAAATGATTACGATATAATTTTCATTCTGTAATTTTATTTTATTTTATAACTATAAAATTTATGCTTATTACGTAAACACTATGAACCAAGAGTATAATTTCTTTAGTGTACACACTCTTCCAAAAGAACCTATTTTAAATGTCATTAAAACGCAGAATTTAACATCAACATAGCCAAACACAATACAAACATAGAYTCTGCTTTATAGGCCTAAACCCTTCAATAATGAAGTAGTACAGTAAAGAAAAAGATAATGAGAAATTCAAGAGAATGTTTTAAGAAGGGTTTATGAAASAATAGGATTTAAAAGGGGATTTGGAGACAGAGGCAAGCTGCCKGCTTGAAAAAAAGCCAAACTGAAATAACTGAGCCAAAAATAACAATAAAGGGATCTATAAATTAAAATAAATGAATAGGGCTAGAACATACAAATGTTGCAGGTGRGGATGAAGTGTTGCATTGAATACTGTGAAAGAAAACCAATGGATGATCCAATGATAATGAAAATTCAGTTTTGTTGGMCCTCGTTTTGTCACTTGCTTTAAAATGTCACAAGAAAAGATATCTTGTGCAAGTAATGAGGAAAGAGGTGAGAACATTTGCAACTGCATTTAGCTGAATGACAACAGAAACACAAATTAACATTCTTTGCCAAGCTGCTCACAATCTAGAGAAATGTTTGTGGTATTCATGTAGAAAATACAAGCAGAGCCATGCAAAAGTGGAAGACAGGAAGCAAAACATACAAAAACACCACCCTTAAGTATGGCAGTGTGATAGGCAGATGGCTTTAAATTTTATTTTTTTTTTAATTCTAAGTCATTCTTTTAATGCTTACCCACAGCACAGTAACAAGAATAACAACATCCTTAGTGCAGCATCCAAGCCACAGGAACCTCCCATGTTTCAGYTYGTGCCCATTGCCTCTTGTCCAGTCACTGGGCCCCACTAAAAATGCCTGCATCCATTTTCYCTGCATGTTTCTTTCAGATTTCTGTACACTTTGATGAGGTGCCCCTGAACCTTTCCTTTTCCAGGCTCAACACCCAGGTCTCTCAGCCTTTCCTTGTAAAAGAGATGGTCCAGTCCCTTAATTATCTTAATGGTCCTTTGCTGCACTATGAAGTATCTCCATATGATTGTACTGAATCCAGAACTGAACACTATTCCAGATGTGACCTTACCAATGTGGATGTGAAAATTATAGGGGAAAGATACATACAACYTTTTTTCCCCTCTCTCTGGCATTCTTCCTATACACAAGCAAAACTCTTATCAAAATTTTGTTTTCGGGTGTGGATTGAATAGGATCAGTAGAAAGGCTGRTTTCAACATACTGTAAGGATTTGTTCTATTTTATTCTTAAAAACATTTTTTCATAAGGAGAATGATTTGGTTGTAATTATATTTCACACTTTTTATAATTTCATACTGCTCTTTTGAAAAGTGTTTTACTTCTTAAATATACAGCAGACTTACAGTGATTTTAGCAATTTGCCACATTTGGCAACATTTTAAAATCTGTGGAGGAAACGCAGCAATGTACAGTAATGGAAGATACAGGCTTTTAATACTACAATAATATTCATTCTTTTTTCCTAACCAGAAAGCAACTGCTGTGTATCATGTATTTAATTATGTTGCACTTATGAATCCCTTTGCTTTATCTATCCTTAAAGTTCCATCACCCTGTTCAGACAGATTTTATAGCACAGTATGTACATAACTAGAAAACTRTCTGAGGAGAAGCCATATATACAGAAAATTACCTGGTCTTCAAAGTCAAATTCTGTATAAACAGTATCTCCAGAATCCATAATCAGACTGCAGTCAAGTTCATTTGACCCTAAAAAAGGAAAGAAAATTAGAATTCAGAAATTGATTGAGAATTTCCACTTTATGTGGTGGAACACTATAATATTTCCAGTTGTCTTTATCTGTGCAAAAACTGTGATCCAAGGAACCACGCTGGTTTGCTAAAGCACCCAGGTAAATGGTATTTCATTAGCAAAGCCTTCAAAGCATCCATAAAAGCTACCACAAATCTTAATCAGGAAGGGCTATGCTAAATGGTGAATTGTTTTAGCTAGATTACATATTTATTGGGCAGGGTGTTCTGCGTGCCATGACTTGCAATTGTGAAATTGCCACACTCAAGGGAGAATATAAACCAGTTTAAGAAAGAGAAAGGAAATACTAATTTCTGATTAGCAGATGAGGATCCTTCAGTGGTGCTGACAGGGGACCAAAGCAGCATGCTTCCAGCAGCAATAGTCTCCATTTCTATCCTATTCTTCCTCTTTCCAAGGAGACTGTGTGGCTCTGTCCCTTCTCCTTGTCATCTTCCTGCAGCAGGACCAGGAAGAATGCAGTCACTTGCACTTGGGATGACAAAATTCAATTGTTGAGAAGGCTTGACCTGGCTGAGCTTTACAGTTTAGCTTCAGCTGAACTRCTGGAGGTTGCAGAACAGAAACTGAGCTTGGTATTTCAAGTAGTCAGGCAGAGGGGGCAGTCAATGCTTGTCTTGGTTTGAACCCACAACAATGCTAAACCACCATGGAAGAATAAACCATATTTCTGTATAAACACAGGAAGGGTATAACACAGCTATCATATTCTGGCACTGTTACCCCATTCAGATTATCTCAGTGCTGAGCAATAAAGAAGGAAATGGTCTCCTGGGTCCTTCAGATGGCACAGGCCTAAACCAAATCCTGCACATTTTCTAAACACATTATAATATCAGTAGGTGGAAGACTACCAAAGTACATTTCACTGCATTATTAAAATGAGAATAATAAAAATGTACAAGATCACTAATAAGGAGCACAATCCCCTCCATCCTGGGTTACAGGTGTCTCTACCTGCTATGATATTCCTGCAAGCACCGGCACTGAGGGCACTGAGTTTTAAGCCTATTGCTCACCTCGAGTTGTTTTCTCCCCRTTAGAGTTGTTTGTATGGGTGGCTTGCTGTAACGAGCACCGTCAATAGCAGATTTTGCAGTTCAGTTTGTGCCAGGTGCATTTATGTATTACCTGGGTTTACACAGTAATAATCTGTGTAGGTGGTGAGCTAAACATCATTGACAGAGAACAGAGGAGCGGAACTGGATGTCACAATGACCAGACTGTAACTGCCTGGTACAGATGATGATTACAGGGTGCCTTAGTTCACAATCCTTATCACAGTTACTGTCAAATTAATCTTCAATTTAACTGTCTGGACTACATAAGAGATACSAGGAAAAGATCTGCTTCTACCATTCGATGATGCTTTTATTTTGGTTACCTCACTCCCCTGCCCCCACCCCCAATGCTCATTTACAGTTTATCAGATTATTATAAAAAATTACAGAAAGGTATTATAACCCTGATACTGCAGTGTCACCTATATAAATGCAGCATGCTCTCTGCTGTACACGTTATGGTCTTTTGAAAATATCTGTCTCTAAAAGATATATACAAAGAAATAGATTTCCAGCTGCTGAGAGAATCTTAATTTTTGATTTATTTTACCCAGCTGACATCTCACTCTTAACACCATGTCATTGTTGATAATATAATTTAACTAAGCCTCAGTTGTCACTTTCACTGGCCTACTCTGACACATCAATCACTTTTAAAGGCTCTTGTGTGCACTTTATTAAAGGCCCTTGATTAAGTGTCACTTAAGTACCAAGAGCAGTACGTATCCTTAGCTAGAAACATTAGTATGAAATACGGTGCTGCAAACTTAAATGTAAAGGTCAGGCCGAGAATGAATACTCATGCATAATGTATCTTAAGTGATAAAARCCATACTGGTTATACAATTTTAATATGGTCAAGCATTTTTAAAGCCTTTTTTCCTTGAACTAGGACACTGGTGTCCTTGGGAAAACAAAGCTTCTTCCTAGGGTATATTCAAGAAAAATTGAAAATCAGTCTTTTCTTTCATGGTTTAATGAAAACTAACAACCCCCATAACCATCTATCACTGAACAGGGTTCAGACTTCTCTACCCTTCTCAAATTGCCTAAAGACAAACCTATCAGAAATGAATTGAAGCAAATGGCTCCTCCTGGGACGAGATAAAGTAATTAAGGGATATACAAGAGTACCTGTGATATCCCTGGTGCAGCATGAGTAGCTTGCTGTGCTCCAGCCCAGTTTCTTGTTGGAGGGAGCACATTTTGCTAAGGTTGGACTAAATCTTCCTAAAGCAGGTYTTGCAGGGGAAAGCAAGGAGCTCATTAACTGATGTCTTGTACGTGTGRCAGCAGAGGCACACCAGGGAACACCTTGGCAAGGTACCAGCAGTCAGGAATCCTGCTGGTAGGCAGATCAACTGACAAGGCTAAAGCCAAAAAAGAGAGCCTTAGAAAGTGGATAATTCAAAACTTGGCTCAGGTTTTCTAAACCCAAGTTTAAATCAGCAATGTTTGATGTAAAACCTGTGGCAATGTTTATCTGTCAAAGGTGAAATGCAAAATATTGGCTTAAGGAAAAAAGGAGAACTGGTCAAAGGGCTTGGAAGCAAACATGCCCTGACACTTTCAACGAGACTGCAGGCTGAACATCTCATGTCTGACAACAAAACAATTGATCATAAATAAGTTTCATTGCTCTTTCTGAGTAAGTTGCATTATTTTTCTTTTGTGAAGTTGGTACCATGAGAACTAGGCTATAAAAACAATTAATACTTGTCTACTATTAGAAGGAAAGGCTTACAATCTGATTCATCTTAATTCTTTCAAAGGGGAGGTCACATTCCAGCAAATAATCTCTTGTCTCAAATAAGATCTTSGTTAACTTGGAGCCTTCCTGGGCTTATATGAACCTATAGAAAGTGATCTGAGTAACTTTATCAATTGCAAAAGGGGAAACTCAAGCTAAAAAACATTAATWAGGAAAGCCCATGAAGGTTCTACTGCCATGGAGAAATAATTTGCAAGCACCTGATCTGAAAAGGTACCCTCAGGGCTTAAAATATGCTTCCTTATTTGCATGAATAAAGTTAAGGCAAGTCTTTTTCATAATGCCCTATGTTTGCCTTAGAGAAAAAAAAAGAGACGATTTTAACAGGTGCAGTACTGCACAATTAAAAAACAAAGCAGTTGGAAGTTTTTATTAAATCCCCATTAACTGAATAATCCGGTCTCTAGGGAGAACAGGTTGAAGTAAGAAAAAACAGAGAGCTAGAATGCATTCGTTTTCTTTGCTATGTTTTGTATTTTGACACTGAAGGCATCTTTCATAAAAATTTGTCTTGTGAGGAACCCAAGATGATCCAATGACACAGCATTGAGGGATGAGGTGAATTTAAGGGGCTGCACTTGTACAAGGATGTGCTGACAGGTGCTACTCCTGCCAGGTCTGACAGACAGGGACAGTGACACCTGCACCACAGGGGTCCTCATCACTTCTTTCACCATAAGACTTTATTTTACATTCTATGCTGTATTTTACATAGTTTGTTGCCCCTAAGCTGAATTGCATAAGATTGATCATGGAGAGCTGAGAAAGTGTGGCTTTTATGGGCAGGTGTGTAATTCCCACCACAGAAATGCACTCCAAAGCCCAGGGGACCATGGTTGCAAATGTCTCTGGTCCTATAAAACATTTCAGTGTTTTAAGCCTGGGTTCATGGCACTTTCTCTGAAAATGTGTTCATCCTTAAGTTGTCATGAATGCAAATGTCAAGCATTGCTTTTTCACAGTTCACTAAATTCATTTATACTATGAAAATAAAATGTACTGATCTGTCTAAATTTATCTGCAGCTGACTTCACTTCCCATCACAAGGTAGCTATGACCCATCATGCGAATTAATTATGTCTGCTCCTTGGACCATTTGTGTTTTGGCAAATCAGCTAATGAATTTCCAATCCTTGCTTAAATGCATTACTTATTTGGAATCCTGCTAGCAATTTTATTCAATATAGTTCATTGGCTCAAATATGCCCATRCTCATATTTTAACAATGATAGTGTTCACATAGATCAACACTGACTGTCATAAAAGTAATCTAAGCCTATCCTGTGAAACACGCTGCTTCTCTTAATAGCATGTTTAAGYTCAAGAAAATAAAAATGTCTTTTTATGTTGTGGAACATGCTCTGAAGCACTTTCTAATAACTCAATTAATATATGTTGCATATAAGCACTTGGGCAAGACAAATGCTTAGACGATAAATTTCAAGTGGAATATTATAGAAATAATTTGTTGAAGGACTGATTAGCATTAGAATGATTACATTTAATTTTCCTCTCAGTAAGATGCTTCTAATACAAATTTTATTGCAACCTTACACTGTTGAGTTTCATGACAGGTTGTTGCTCCTGGCAACAGTATTAATATGTTGTAGAAGGCAACAATGAGAAAATTGTATTTTCAGCTATAAACATTTCASTTGTTTTACTTCACCACATATTGTTATGAAATTGATTACAACTGGATTGTACAGGCATAACRTATGAATTAGATTGATGTGGAGGCATGAAAATATTAGAAATACTRTGTTTATATTAGCTACAAGGAATACAGTATATTGCAATATCATTAATAAGATTAGAAGACAAAAAGTGACATCAAGACATGCTGGAATTGCAACCTCTAGAAATTAAACACCTGATCTCATGGAAATCCTACTTCAAATCTCTTTATTATTATCAGTGCTCAGGTTAGGCACTAATTAGGTGATTGTGGCATGGCATCTGCTCTTAGCTCTCTATTTTGGTGAGGGATTTATTAAAAAGATCAGACTTTCSAGGAACTCACTGGAACTCATCCAGAATCACCACCAATTTGTGCAAATTGTTTAGCTCTCGTCAAGCTGTTTGTCAGTGCTTGCACCTTTGTGACACCTCTTTCCTCTTCTTCCTATTCAGCACTTAAATCAATTAGGGAATCCAGAGGCAATTACCAACACAATGTTGTACAGTGGGAGTGCCATTTTAGGTTTGGGATCAATCTCTTGCCTCTATGAATAAGGCTAAGCACAATAGAAGTAAGTGTGCCACTTAACAGAGAAAGAGAGTTATCTTTATTCTTGTGTACGTCTCAGGGTGGGCACTAGAAACCTGTGGGGTTTCTAGCTGCACTTTTTATAATTCTCAACATCCTCCCCAWCTCCCACTTGCATTCACTGCCTTCCCCCACCCCCAACTTGATATTTCATCTTTATCTCATTTAGAACATTATAAAAAATTTCTTTTTGTGTGCTGTTTCAGAAGACATTTATAACAYCATCTACCTATGTAACCTTCATGGTTTATTTGGAAAACAACAAGGGATGCCACTGTAAAAGGAAGAAGCTGTGAAATTACCAAAGWACATTTTTCTGCTGCCCTCAAGCAACATATTTCTGACAGATGTTAAGGATTTTTATTGCTTTGATTTTGAGCTTCAATTCTTTTGCAGTCTTTTGTCTTGCAAAGGCTTTACTTTGAAGACATTCAAACCTCAATAAGCACAAATAATAAGCAGACAAACAAATAAAATACCTGAACACTTGACTTATATTCGCTTCAGAATTAGTAACARTTATTAGGAAATATGACCATTAATCTCACAGGACTGGTTTTCTGGTGAGCACCAAGGTATCACTGGAACTGAAACAACTGACGACTGGAATTGAGAACTTGTGCAATTTTTATATTAACAGTATAGCTTAGTGGACTTGCCACAGTATTTTAAGGTTACTTAAAATGGATGGGCTATATGAAGTTTCCAAACATAAAGAGGTTTTTTTTTTCCTTGATTGTGTAAATGTTTGAGGTCGGCCAAAATTTTCCTATTGTACCTACATCCAAAGTTGAGGAATATGAGAAAAGCATCCCACCAATGTAAAATKCAATAYAATGAATATGGTTCTTTAAATCTCACATTAACTCACCTGCCGCAGTCTCTTTGTTTGCAAATAGTTTATTGTCAACTGCTGAACTTATGTCAGAGAACACTTCTTCTTCATCTCTGTCTGCATCAAACTAAAAAAAGAAAGAAAACGTTGGCAATCAGACACTGCTAACTACTTGGCTGAACATCAGCATGTACAGTGCCTTCTCACCCCAAGCCTTCCTGATAGGAACCTTTCTGTTTTTCTGTGTGCTGTCCAGTGTTTTAGGTATGATACATTTAAATTGTTACTTAAATTTTGTAAACCATTTCGCCTAATTTTAATTGCCTTTCAGAAACCAAAGCTACAGTAAAACTAACTTGYTCTCAGAGAATGAAGTTTCAAAGCAGAAAGTAAAACTAATAATGCACATTGCTTCCTCAGTCRTTGGATGGCTGATAAAAATGTTAGMATTGAGACCAGAAATGGCATTACTTTACTGTCACTTCTTTTTGGTGATTAGCATAATTAATTTKTTAAATTTGCAAGTGAAAGACTTTTCAGCAACTTCTGAATTGYCTGAAACAAATTTTTGTGACGTACAATTTCTACAAGCATTGAGCAAAACACTTAGAAAAGAATAAGTACTTCTGAAAATCCGCTACTTACAGGAAAGAGTTTTCCTTGTTCTCTCAATAGCATAAAGTGTAATGGCTCACTGATAAATTAATTAAATCAGGAAATAAAAGCTGCTTTAAAATGGCAAATAATTAATTTCTTACCATTTAAACTTTTTCATTTATTCTATCTTTTGCCTGAATTCTGATACTTATTCTCCCAAGTTTTTTCTCAGCTCTGTCTGACAGGTTCTTTTTATGGACAGATGACATGCTTTACAGCGGATTTGTGATTTTCCTGATTGTATTTATCAAACTTCATTTATTTAGATGATCACTTATTCAGATAGATGAGTCTAATATAAATTTCAATACTTGGAGTTTTCTGCGTGGTTCTAAAAATGGAGTTTGAGGGTCTGACCGTGAGGACCACTAAGAAGTTCATCCTGCAGCAGTTACCCATCTGTCTTAGCAGACGATTATCTAATCTCGAGAAATTCCTTTGCCATTTAGTGTTTGTCATAATTTAAAGATTTTTTTTTTAAATTTTAAAGCAGAAATTTGTTTGTGTTTACCTGTTAGAGGGATTACATTTTAACTTGTGTCAAAACCAGGGCTTGTGGAAGAACAGGTCCTGAAGCTGCTGGGCTACTGTTGGGCAATTTATCATGGATACACAAAGAGCAGCTTTGGAATGTCCTCGTTGATAGGAAAAGAGTGCTCCTAAAATATGCTAGGGTAACCATATATGATGTTTGTGGGTATGTGTATGCATAAAACCCAGTAAATTGTAATCAGATTGTGCCTGATCATTATTAGGTCACACCACACTTGGAGAGATGATGGACTTGCTTTCTCATTAACAGCATTCCTCTGAGTAATCCAGTTCACCATGAAAAAAAAACACATGATCAGTCTCAAAATGTTCTGAAGGTTCCAAGAATTTGAAACACCAAATTCCCTATTCAAAGAACACCAGCTGTGCTTCAGCATTCTAAAAAGTCTGGGCTTTGTAATGAAAGCTTGTATTTTCACCCAAAGCAACCAATTACTTGAAGCTTGCACATAGATTCAGTTTTCCCTTCACAAAATGAAAATTGTAATACCCTGAGTCACARGAAGGCAAGGTAGCTTCCATGGAGAAATTATTTTTGAAAGAAACTAAGTAACCTTGTGAGTTCTGTATTTCAGTGAATTACTAAATATTTYAAAATTAAATCCTTYGATAATTATTGGAGGCTCAAATAAAAGATAAAAGGTACTCAAACAACCCTAGTCACAAATGAAAAATAGCATTAATACTTGTATTTTTAGCAGAACCTGTCTAAATTCATAAGTTGCTTTCCTTACTGAAAACAAATGCCTACTTTCTTCAAAGCACAGCTCTTTGCAAATTATATAGGGGTATCTTTATGGATAGGCCATAGTCAAGGCCTATGTTTTATAGAAGTGTACTTTCTCTAAACATTAACTGTATTGTTTTCTGCATTGATATAGTTTTTGCCAGTGAAGCAGGAAGAAGCAAAATGTTCCTTCCCCTTGTGGCCAAAGGGGTTKGAGGTCGGAACTTCATGGCATTTCCCTCCATGAGGCACTAATGGTGTTTTTGTTCTATCTCTGCTCTATGTCTTGCTTTTGCCATCTCTGTTTTGTTGGGGCAGGAAAAGATAGGGAGAACCTCAGAGGGCAAGAGCATCTCATTTCTCTAAGAAGCCAATCTTAATCTCTGACCCAGGAAAGGTTTCACAAACCTTTCTAAAGTATTTTTTGGGGCTATGCTTGGTTTTATTATTTTTTGAAAGTAAATGATGAATGGCTCCATGAGAAATTTTCTGGAAAGTTAATATCATTTTCACATGAGCACTGCTGAACTGCTGAATTTGACACTGGCATGGTGTTACATAAAAATGATGAAAAACATATCTGCTGCATTGTAAATGATTGCCCTAGGGAATGCAGGTGGTTGTTGTGCTCAGAGAGAAAATGATTAGTGTTTCTAAATAMGCACCCAACAAATCTCAGCCAACAGAAGGAGCTTCACGGGAAAATTGTCTGAGTTACTGAACATTGCAAATCTCACTGGTCCGTGATGATAAACGGAGGTTTGGTAATACCATGTATTGAATTAAAGAAAWAAGTGCACAGATTTTTCCTTACATCTGTCAGGGGACAAACATCAAGGAAACTGCAGTTAACTAAATTTTTGGGTGATGGTAATTCAGCTTGGTACTGCTCCCTGTGGACAGATTCACCCAAAATGAAACTGCTGGGTTTTGCAGGTGGTTTACCCAAAACATTCCCAAATGAGGGGGAGATCCCACTAGCCTTTCAAACGGGAGTATAGGAAAGCTAGAAAGAAATCTGRTTGCACAGACTTGCAATCAAGGGAATTTTTTGTGCAGGTAGAAATGGAGGAAGCATAAAAAAAACCCCAAGCAAACTTGTAGTTAAATAACATTTACAACAGTAGATAAAAGTGCCTTCGATTTTAGGGCATGATGGATGCCAATGAAAAGAAAAGAAGCCATGTCCAAATTAAAATAAGAACACTGGGCTAACTGGTCTATGGCAATATTTTTATCCACCTGTGCTCTCTCTGCTCTCTTCTGCAGGTGAAGACTGTAACTTGTAGACGTCTGGATGTTTTCTCAGACATGAAAATGCATATTTTGTCACTGGAAGAAATGCTCAAATTTGTACATTTTAAGGTACGGGTGATCTGATTATCATTATCCATTTGTTTGCTGCAAGCAGTTTCCATATGAACTCTAGGTCTTGCCTCAGTAGGAAGTTACTCAYTGTTGATCTTCAAGAGCATGAGGGAGTATGGAGTGCTAAGCCTCTGACCATTGCAGTCAACTCTGGTCAGGAGGAAAAAAGCAACAGAGATGCTTGGAGTTGTTTTTAAATCACATCCTCACTCATGGCCCTTTCAGTGGTGTCTGAMTGATTTGTGGCTTTGGAAAATAAGCCATCAGATYTTCAGTCATAYAAAAATAATTAAGCACAATTTGCAATGGATTCCCTATGATTTGAAAATTTTAGATTATTCCTAAAACAAAACCTAATAATAAATTAMAATTAAAATAGGAATTAATTCAGAGAAGTCTGCAGTCCAAAAAATTGCTCTGCATAGCCAGAGCTGTCACTTCTGGCTTTGTAATCCATTAACCCGATACGTTGAAGTGAAACACAATCATTGTCTAGAAAGTGGACAAATCACCCATATATTATCACCTGCAATGAGAAACAATTTCTTCCTAAATAAAAAAAGAGGCTTATCCACAGGAAAGTGCACATGGCTTCTTGTATCATGGTTTCCCCATGTTTTTAAAAGTGATACCTAGATCAGAAGCCAGATTGCACCACTGTCCCTTAAGTGCTGGCACTTTTGTTTGAAAAGCTGACAATCCTAGTAAAATAAACAGATTCTTAAGACTGAATAAGTTACAATGATTTTCAGGTGGCAGTAGCTACAAATGTGACAAGAACACACTGTCATTATTCCTGCTGATTTAGGCAGTGATTTACTCCTKAAGGAATGAAAACAAATAAGAACTAGTTCTATTTTACCCTTGGCAATACTAAAAGGTGAAGTGAGACACACTTGAGGTATAGGCACTGCTTTACCATTTTTGGACACCCACACAGAAATCCCTTCATTATTGTTGTTCCAACCCTAGTTTGCTTCTCTTAATAATTACAATTGACTTGTCTAGTTACTTCTAGAGAAAGGGGAAAATTCAAAAGAAAAACACCAGCAACATGGGAAAACAGCAAAGAAATATGTGAGGAAAAATACATAAGGCAGGATAATAATCACTGGGATGGGGGACATGAAAAATTAGTTGAAGCCTTGCATAGGAAAACCAATAGGCAGAGGTACTGAAATGAAGCTGGAATGTGCAGAGTGGGAGTTCAGGGAGCATTTCCCCATTATAAAGTATTTCTAACGATATACTTAAACAAAACCAAAAAACCCTCCAGAACACCACAAAATGGGGGGTTGAGGACAAAGGAGAGAGAGATTTCTCTCTAATMCATTCTCTATTTTTAATATTTTCATTCTTTTACATCTGATTAATCATTACACTGATTAATTTTTACATTATATTTTACCACATACAGAAGAAAAACTACAATTGAAATTGAACTAGAGTACACCAATAATTTTTAAAATATTATGCAATTAKCAGAGCTCACAAATTGGTATCAGACAGAAATTTAGAACAAAAATGAACTGGAGATATTRACACCATTATTACAATCCCAAGGAATACTCTGAGTTATCTAAAATAAACCTCTTCACACCTTATTTTTTTGCCACAGGAGTTCCAAAGAGGATTCATAAATAATTGCAGAGCCCTCATATGTCTATCATTAGTTTGTCAAGTTGCACTTGTATCTAAGGGTCTATTGCTATGAGTGCTACTTGTAAACAGGCATGAGGGTGAATGTTCTCCAGCCCTGAGTGGAGCTGACAGCTCTGCAGCAGCTGCTGGTAGCTTTTATGTGTCCSWAACTCMTTTACWMA